AACTAATCTATTTTCTTACAATCCAGATGAAAAAGTTTATCAATTAATTCTACTATGTGCTTACCTCCTGACAATCAACACAGACCAAGATTGAATTGGTTCTTATGGTTTTGCAGAGGTTTTTGGCTGAATTTGTAATTTGACACTGCATCTGACAGGTAATTAAGGAGAATATGGAGAGAACTCTAAGAAACTCCAACATGAAGCCTTTGAGTCACTCATCGTACTTGAGGCTGCAGATTTTATGCAAAAGTTTTTATGATGTTTATGAAAAGCTTTGTTTTCTAAATGACATTTCTCTGTCTGATTTGATGGCCTTTATTCCTGAGCTTCGTTCCCAGGTAACACCGACACATGACGTTTGGGTTTGGATGAATTTTTCATGTGATTATTTTCCATCAGTTTAAATTTGGTTTTGATTTGGGTGAACCTTGTAGGGTTTTTTTTATTGTCCTCAAAACCTTCTTATAGTTAGTGATCTCGATTGGGTAAAGTATTGTTTACTTCCTTATTCGGAATGCATTTTGTGGCTTAGGCTTATGTCACCCATGAAACAGGGAAATGGTTGTCCTTGGGAAGAGTTAATTTCACATTTGAAGCTTGAAATGTTAACTATGAGTGGAACCAAAACATTTCAAAGAAAAATGTAAATATAGAATTAGTCCTCCATCCGTTGATGTATCTATTTTGAAATTAGAATGACAGATTCCAAAAGTTTGTTTTGGCACTTGATATTTCATTATACTGTTTATAGGAACGTGAAATGATTAATTTAATTGTTGGGTTCATTGCCTGATAGTTTCTCTAAATTCTAACTGCATATGTTGGGTAGGTATATATTGAGGGCCTTTTCCATGGTAATTTGTTAGAAAAAGAAGTACTTGACATTTCAAATATCTTCAAAAGCAACTTTTCTGTACAACCGATGCCTGTCACAATGAGGCATAGAGAGCACGTGATGTGTTTTCCCTCTGGTGCCAACTTTGTGAAAGATGTCAGTGTAAAGAATAAGTCTGAAACGAACTCAGTGCTTGAGGTACATGATGATGATCAGATTCTCTATGAAATATTAGTTTATATTTTTTTTTCTTATTAATGCTTTATACTATTATTGATCACATCATTGGCCTTGAATTGAAGCTTTATTTCCAAATTGAGCCAGAAGTAGAGAAGGAAGCAGTAAAATTGAAGGCTTTGATAGATCTTTTTGATGAAATTGTGGAAGAACCACTTTTTAATCAGCTAAGGTAATTTTTTCAAAGGCTGGAGGTCTGAAATTGTGCTAATCAATCTTCTCTACCGCTAGCCTGTGCAGGGCGTTTGAGCACTTAAGCAACCAAAATATTGGGGGGGGGGGGAAGCGAAATTTCCCCCCTTTTCTTTTGGGAAACTATTTGATTGAAATAATCGTCTACTTAATTTTTTTTCCTTGCTGGAAAGAAAGGTTATCTTGTTTCTGTTAAGGCTGCACTCTTGCTTTGTTTGAGATCTTTACTAATCTAGGCTGCTCTAGTTATCTATATGTTTGTATGCATGTTTTTGCTAGCATTAGTGGATCATGTGTTTGTAGGGATGTATGCATATGTAAACAAATGTGATAACATGCGATGTTCATTTCCCCCTTTTTTTTTGGTCGAGGCAAAATTGAAAAATTATAATGATTTCTCTAATTGTTTATTCAATCTGGAATATAGGACAAAGGAACAACTTGGTTATGTGGTTGAATGTAGCCCACGGGTGACCTATCGTGTTTGTGGCTTTTGTTTCTGCATTCAATCTTCCAAGTACAGCCCGGTTTACTTGCAGGAGAGGACAGACAACTTCATAAATGGCTTGGAAGAGTTGTTGGTGAGTGTTGAGCTGCTATCTAATATGCTGGTTTGCTTGGATACTTTTCTATTATAGCCTACCAAGAAATGCACAGCTCTTTTCTTTCAATGCTAAACTGTATTCCTTTGTTATTATTTAATGAAGACATGTATGCTTTTAATTCCTAATGCATTGTAGGAAGGGCTTGATGATGAATCATTTGAGAGTTATAGGAGTGGACTAACAGCAAAGCTCCTGGAAAGAGATCCCTCCCTCTTATATGAGACCAATCGCTTATGGAATCAGATTGTCGATAACAGGTGCGTATCTATATAGTATTTTTGTTGGACAAACATAATTTTCCTTTTCCTTTTGCAAATTGCAAGTTAATCCTGTTTATGTAATAATTCTGTTATGACATTACAAGTACTATATAACAACCTTGTGCAGAGAAGTGCCACTCATTCAGTAAATATTGGATGTTAAATTGGGCTATTCTCCTCACCATGACTGTTGCTTTTGTTTCTTTTATTCTGCCTTGGTTCTGTAGATGTATCGAGTCGAGAAAATTATTTAGAGTTTTACTGGTGCGAGCTACATGTGTGTGCGTGCGCGCGCGCGTATGATAGCATTGTTCCTTCCTCCTCTCCTCTATTGTATTATTAACTTTTGTGTATCTCTCAGGTATATGTTTGACATGTCAAAGAGGGAAGCAGAGGAACTCAAAAGCATCCAGAAGATGGACATTGTGAAGTGGTATAAAAAGTATTTGCGAGAACCTTCGCCGAAATGTCGAAAACTGGCGATTCGTGTATGGGGATGCAACACCAGCCTAGAAGAGGGTGAAAATAAAACAGACTGTTTACAGCAGCAACAGCACATTAAAGACCTTGAAGCTTTTAAGATGTCATCCGAGTACTATCCATGCCTTTGTTAAATGCAAACTAATTGATGTTTGGGTGAAACCAAAAACAAAGAAGAGGCTAAAACAGTATACAATTACTGATCGGAAGGTCTACATAAACATTTTGTGTTGGACGATGAAAAAGGTGGAAGGATAGCAGTGAAATCAACAATGATATTCAAACCTATTGGTGGGATTATAGATTTTTATTATATAGTAGCATTTAAACTTATTTGAATATTGATTGAATTATATATGCTCATTAATTTTTGTATTAAATCGGTATATGATATTATATGTGGTGAAATTTATTTGAAAGGATTATTTTTAAAATTATACATGAATTTTGATCCATATCATATATAAAATTTGATTCTACAAATGGTCTCAATTCAATCCTAATTGTTTTCTTATTGATAAGCCGTTCATCTTTTTTTTTTGTCTTTGTTGATTGACAACAATATTAATTTTAATATTAGTTGCTGACCGTCTGTATTTTTTGTTGTCATTTTATTTTTTTTATATTACATATTTATTTTCTTTTTTTCATTTTCAATAAATTTGCTTATACGACAAGTTTTCATTTGCTTTTATGACACGTTTTTCTTCTGCTTTTAGCATTTTTTTAGTCGTGTCGTCGTTGTTTTCACTTATTTTTCTCTAACGATTGATTTGACATTGTCACAACTGATTAAGATGACGCTTATCTGTTATATTATTGATCTTCCCTGTTTTGGACCCTCATATTAGATTTGGATACTTGTTATGCGTTCGTGGATAACTTTTCACGTCGCTCGAGTTTGATTTGCGGTTTGTCAGTGGTCTTTCAGTAGCTTGATCGTCATTTGTGGTTCGTTTGTCAATGTGATTATATCTATTTGTATTGATCTTTGTTTGAGTTTTCTTGGTTAGATTTTAATATTTCCTTATATGATCTTTATGTGATCTTAAATTGCTAGTTTTGTTTCAATAGTTATAATAAATTGTCCTAATTATGTGTTTAATTTACGATTATAATTGCAAATCTTTATTGTAATTTAAGAGATTTTCTATTTTGAATAAAATTAGTGATATATATATATATATATATATATATATATATATATATATGATTTGTTTGATTTTGACCAATCATTAAGATTTTACCTTTTTGTAGCGCATGAACAAATAATTATATGTGAAATATGAAAATAAATGGATGTATTTAAATTTTAGAATAAATTATATCAGATATTACTAAATTTCTATTTTTGTATTGAATTTGTCAATGAACTATAAATTGATATGCTTTTAGCATTAAACTTTACTTTTGCATGTAACTATATCATTGAGTTTTTAACCCATTAATAATTGAATAATATGGCAGTTTGGTGGTGACGCGTGATGATGTGAAAATCATTGGTATTTTAGCCATCAATGTTTCATTTTAGGTTAAAAAATGCTCATATTTTAGAGCGTTAATCGTGTGTTAAAAATAATTTTTATCTATAGAGGGAAGTTTTTACCCCAAAGTGAAACGTTAGGGGCTAAAATATTCCAAAAATAAAAAAGAATACGGACCGACCATTTTAGTAAATGTTGGGGAGTATTTTTGGTATTATGTCAATTTTTATATATTTTGAGTGAGTTTCATGGTAAATTAATCCGAATAAGAAAAAAAGAGTGAAATACGAACATTTTAATGTTGATCTTGTCGTAAATGGTAATCGATAACGGATGACAGTTAAGTGCTAACGATGATCGAAAATTTTAATGTCTAAAATTGAAGCCTTGTAAAATTTAGTGATAAAATCAACATATAAATTAAAGGATTTATATAATTATGAAAAATGACATGATTTTAAATATTAATATATTTATATTAAAATAACATCGTTTTGATCATGTCATCACATTGAGGATAATTGTCATCTACGTTAACACATCATTTATCACTTGCTGCAAGTAGTAGAATTGTTTACAAAACTAAATTTAGTGCTACGCTTGTATCAATTTATAACTTAATGAAAATTTTGATATAAAAAATAAAGTTAAATGCTATCTGATATAGTGTTTTCTTGATTTTTACAGTTTAAATATAAATAATAAATAAAGTACCAGGAGTCAAATTATTAGTAATTTCAAATTTCAAGACAGTCCCCCATATTTCTATATAATTCCAAAATGATCCTACTAGATAGTGGGCTTGGGCCCTCCAATCTCCACTCTATGTCTCGTCTGTAATTTTCCCAATGATTCATTTACCTATTACTGCTACCGTCACTTGTAATTTCCTTTGATGTATGTGTTACTAATACAAAATTAACATCGACGAATTTATATGCTAAGCAAAATCAAACCCAAACTGTCTCTATTTCTCAGATTTCCCCTTTAATCGGACTCTTTCTCGTCCTCTTCTTCCTCACCTTCTCAGCTCTTGCTTCAGCCTGTAAGCCAAGAAGCCAGGGCTTTCGTCCTTAACCTTCCTTTAATGCTGCAGATCTAGCTCTGGGCTAGGGCTCTTCGTTCCAACCAGTTTCATTTCGTCGATTATCCAACCAAATCGTCGGAAATTTACGTAGATCCGGATCAGAGTTCGAAATACGTAGCTTAGAAAACGAAAAGTATGAGTGAGAACCAGAAGTTTCAGCTGGGGACTATAGGTGCTTTGACTTTATCGGTCGTGTCCTCTGTCTCCATTGTCATTTGCAACAAGGCCCTTATCACTACTCTCGCTTTCACCTTTGGTCAGTTTCCACTTCATTCATTTATTCACATCTTTTTTTACTTATTTTTCTTTTTCATCTTTATGTTTTTTTCTTGTATCGTTAGTTATGCTATCCCATCAGTATAATTATGCTCTGGAAATATCAATCCCTTAGGCGATGCTAAGTGACTGATTATAATTTAATCTGAATCTGAATCTGTACGCGTGTGAGTATGCGTATGAACATGAAAATGGTTAAAGTGTTACACTTTGGAAAGTGCACAGATTCATCATTCAAGTTCCTCGCTAAGTGATCAAACAACTCACAGTTGATTAAGAAAGAAATGCTTAGTTTTCCAATCAATCCCTTGCTACACTATTTCTTATGGGGGCGTGCAAATATAATGTATGGTGTTCTTATACTTACAATAGTTTAGTTCAGCACCTAAAGATTACATGATTTTGTCTAGCACTGCTGTGATCTCATAACTATTTTTCTTTTAGATTTTATCTTCAGATTGTCTGATCTTTGTATGTCGCCCCAAGTTCCTGTTATTGCTGCGTCATTTTTAGTGTTGAGTGTCATATTTCCTTATTTTTCATAACAGGAGCAACTTTTCTCAACTTCTTTGAATTAGTTCATGATACCAATTATGATGATGCGGCATGTGATTTTTGACATATGATTGGAAAGTTTCTTACATCTAATAAACCCTACTAGACATTCAGCAATTATTGACTGTTGGAATGTAAGCAAATGGTATATTGTAATTACATGCGGTTAATTTGAAATAGTATCATCAGAATAATTTATAATCTTTTATTACTGTTCCTTTTGCTAATATTGGGTCTGGGTTCTGCAGCCACAACTTTGACAAGCTGGCATCTCCTGGTCACATTTTGTTCTCTTCATGTGGCCTTATGGATGAAATTGTTTGAGCATAAACCTTTTGATGCGAGAGCTGTCATGGGTTTCGGTATATTGAATGGGATATCCATCGGGCTTTTGAATCTTAGTTTGGGTTTCAACTCTGTTGGTTTCTACCAGGTAAAATTTTAATTTCTGGTCGTTATCCTCTTGATTCATATGTAAGTTATGCCTAAGTTTTGCCTGATTCCAACATAACTTAAATGATACTTTGTGCTGACAGCATCTATGGGTATGGAATCTGTTAGTGCTATGTATATCAAGTTCAAAGTTTAGCCCTTCTTCCTATGTTTACAAGCATATTAGGAGCACCAAATGCTGAATGGGTCCTTTTGTTTTATATTGTAGATGACAAAACTGGCAATTATCCCCTGCACTGTTCTTTTGGAGACCCTTTTCTTCAGGAAGAAGTTCAGGTCAGTTATGGGCATGCCTATTTCTTTGTATGACTGATGTTCTTTCACATTCTTATATTTTTTGGCTTCTTGTAATTGTGGTTTTTTTGGGATAAGCCTTAGGAGTAGAATAGTTTTCTTTTAGAGGGCTAGAGATAGACATTGCATTTATTGGCTTGGGGCCATTGTTTGGTGCTGAGTTGTTGACAAACAAGGATTGATAGCTTTGATTGTGACTGTTTCATGCTAAATGCTAAAAGGTTGGATAAAACTGTTATTCCAGCTCTTAACATCTGAGGAGATATTCCTATCAAAAAAAAAAAAAACATCTGAGGAGATAAAGATCTGATGTTCTTTCACATTCTTATCATTTTGGTCTCTTCAAATTGTGGGTTTTGGAGATAATAAACCTTAGAAATAGAACAGTTTCTTTTGGAGGGCTAGAGATTGCATTTATCGGTTTTGGGGCCATTTTCTGGTGCTTACATGTTGACAAACAAGGAATTTTAGCTTTGATTGTAAATGCTACATCTCAAAATTTCTTCTATTTCTGAACTCTCAGTTGGAGAAATCTTGTGCTGTAATTTCCTTGGGTGGTTTCAGTTGCAGCTTATACCACTGTTATTTTGAAGTAGAAATTTATTGGTTATTCTGTATTTTGATACATTTATATTCTATTGCAGTAGGAATATCCAACTTTCATTAGGCATTCTTCTTCTGGGTGTTGGAATTGCAACTGTGACTGATCTTCAGCTCAATTTCTTGGGTTCTATCCTTTCTTTGCTGGCAATTGTTACTACATGCGTAGCTCAAATTGTATCCTTAGCTGGAATGATATTTGCTATTTCTTTTTCATGTTTTATCTGTCGTTTGTTTCCATGTTTAGGAATAGTATATGAATTCTTAAATTTGTTCTCTCCATGAATAGGTTCATCTTGAATTAATTGTTTAATTTCTTAACTCATTCCTGTTAGATGACTAATACCATTCAGAAGAAGTTTAAAGTATCTTCAACTCAACTTCTCTACCAGTCTTGCCCTTACCAGGCATTAACTTTGTTCATCGTTGGCCCATTCTTGGATGGGCTTTTGACTAACCAGAATGTTTTTGCTTTCAAGTATACCCCGCAAGTGCTGGTAAAGAATCATTTCTTACAAATTCCATGCCTTATAAAATAGAGAGTAGTACTATCCTTTTCGTAGATTTCTTTTATTCTAATTGTTTACACATGCAATCTTTTTTGCAGTTCTTCATTGTTCTATCGTGCATGATATCTGTCTCTGTCAACTTTAGTACATTTATGGTAATTGGAAAAACATCCCCAGTCACTTATCAGGTTCTAGGACATCTGAAAACGTGCCTTGTTTTGGCTTTCGGTTATATTCTACTTCGTGATCCATTTAGCTGGCGTAACATTTTGGGGATCTTGATTGCTGTAGTTGGAATGGTCCTTTATTCATATTGTTCCATTCTTGAGAACCAGCAGCAGAAGCCTAGTGAAGTATCAGCACAGCTGCCACAGGTAGTTCTTTACATGTAGATGTGTGTTTTTAATGACCTTGCCTGGGAGCCTATGAAATTAGTATATATATAATTCTCGTTTTGCTTGAATCTTGTAATATTTACCGATTTATTCAACTTTTTGATGAAAAAATCAGGCTAAAGAAAGTGAAAGCGATGTTCTGATTAGCATGGATAACGGAAGTGGGAGGTTGAGTGACGGCAGTGTTCCAAAATCTCCTCCTGTATGGAAGTCAGACAAGGACCTACAAGCCTAAAGTCTTGGAAATGTTGCTATATTCATTGGTGAAAGATAATAGTAACTGTAAAACTGTTCCACTGATGAAGATGTTGCTGGTAAGGGTGGCTTTTTATGTGTTGAGCGGAGCAACAATAATCGGTTCGGGGTGGGTGAGTTCATTTTTGAGATGACACCCTGTTCTATAGAATGAATGAATGAATGAATGAATGAATGAATGAATGCTAGTTTGAAGGGTGGGAAGGAATGCATAATTCATCAATTAAGTTATGTGTTTACAGTTCTATATTTTTTAAGCAATGAAGGGAAGGCCTACGTACCCTGAATGGATATATGCTTGTTTATTTAGATACATGTTTGTTTCCTCCATTGCAAGGCACACGCCTAGCTATACAATTTGTTGAAGCTTTAAGTTTGTGATCATTATTGATTTTATACGGGATAGCTACGCCTAATAGTGTTAATCTGAATCAAATATTTATTTCGTTATATTTTCCCTGAGCCAAAATGTGACGTTCAATGTACGTCCGGGATGGTCTGGCTCCAACACCGAATACTATATTAATCGAATAAAATCAACATAATTTTTTGTGTTTAATAATCTTTGTTTGTTATTCTTTTCTTTATAGATTTTTTTAAAAATTAAAATCAGTTTCATTTTATTAACAGGATGAAACTATAATTTGTCCTGGAAATGGTTTAGGGATTAAAATATGATAAATGAAGGATATGATGGCTTCAGTAAAATATGATAAATTCAAAAATACCGAATTAACTATCGGAAAATAATTTTTTAATCATCAAACATCGAAAAAATTCTAAACCGATTTTTGAGTGTCGCAACTATTGATATTATTGTGTGAATAAGTCTTATAGCCATGGACTAACCTTCTATTTCTCATGCCTCTTTACTTGCATTTTATGATTATATTTATGAACTGCATGATGTAAACTAGAATAAAATTGTGATACTGAGCTTGTAAAGCTAAACATTGAGATGTAAGATATATATACCTTACAGATGTAATTATTCGAATTTAAAATCTTTAAAAAGAATAACATTTTCTTTTACCATTAAAATTATTTGATGAATTCATTAAATTCCATGCTAATTAATCTTACATGGTTCTAGAGAAATAAATTATTGTTGTTGATTTGCTGTCTGAGTGAGGCGTTGACAAAAATGCAATGATCTGTGTGTATTTGAGAAGCCTTAGGAACTGAATTTCTGCAACGGAGAGATCTTGCTGTGATGTTAGAAACATTGTACTTTGTTTTCATTAAAAAAAATTCACTAAATTGGCCTCCCACACTACACTTCTACAATTGACAGAAACAATTGGAATAGTTAGTAATTTTATCAAGTGCCGATTTAGTGTAACTTTTAAAAATTGACATTTAAAAGTTGTAGAATGAACTTTTAGAATTATTGTACGAAAGTACATTTTAAAATTTAACTTTTTGAGATTATTGTTAAAAAGTGAGTTTGGAAAGATAAAATATCAATTATAAATATTATATTATAAATTTAAATTATAAAAAATATAAATAAAAATATAATTATAATTATAATAAAAATATATTTTATAATAACTCACTATTAATATTTTAATATGTAGATCATGAATTTTATTTATTTAAATTAATTAAAAGAATTATTAAATTATAAATTATCTTTTAAGGATGTTACTATTAAATTATTAAAAAAATATAAATACATAATTGAGTGAAACCCATGTATTAGTAAGGATAAAATTATAATTTATTTCCAAACGTAAAGTTAAAAATGAAAAAACTAAAAATCATAGATTTTACGGTTAACTTAAAACCAATAATTTCACAATAATTTATTTTTCATTTTCTACCTATTTAATATTGATTTTACAGTTAAACTTAAAATATTTTTAAAAAGCATACCAAATGGACCCTAAAAGAATAGTTTATAATTAACTTATATGCCCTCATTGTAATTAATGGGTCCAAATCAATTCTCAAAGCCCACTGTAAACACTAATTTTCCAGCGCCACATGTCTCCTCCTGCAACCAATTTTCACAACAACCAAAGAGCGTTAGAAGTCTATTTTGTATAGTCTGCTTTTTCCATTATAAATACATGCAATCCATATCATTTGTAACACACGAATGGAGATACAAAATACAAGCAGAAATTACGAGCAATCTTAGAGCGAAATCAGAGTTTTTTTTCCTGCAAGTTTTCAAAGAGAAATACAAGGTAAATATAGTACATTTTTCGAGTTTATGCTTGCATGCTTGTGTCTCGTTACATTTTGTATTCGAAAAACACCAAAGAAAACCATTTTTTGCCGATGAACAGGGGCATTTTTCGGGATCTATTTTTATAGATCTAGCCCCCGAGGCTTCTTTTCTTGAGAAAATACTTTGATTTTCGGAATGGGTATGAAAAAGGGGTAATCTCACTCTTGGTCCCCTCGTTTATAAAGGATTTAATTTCCACCCTGAAATCCCAATTCATCCTCAAAGTGCTCCAAAATTTGTCATTCGATTTTCTATTTTTACATTCTAGTCCGTTTTCTAGATTTAAATTTCAATTTTCTTCTTATTTTATTTAATATTACATTATAGTATATATTTGATATTACTCCTGTATATTATTATTATTTATTTCCTTTTGTTGTTATGTATATACATGTATCATTATTATTTTATTATTTACTTATTTTATTTATATGTTATATATATATATATATTACGTTATTGCTTAATATTTTTCTTTATATATATTTTTAGTTTACAAGCTAATATGTATGTATTTCCTTTTTTATCTTTTTTCGTTTCGTTTCGTTTTGTTTATTTATTTTATTTTTATTTTCTTTATTCATTGATTCATTTTTTCTATTTTATTTATTTATTTATTTATCTTATTCCATTGTCTTTATTTTTTTATATATTCATTTTATTTTCATAATCTCCATATCAACTGTGTTGTTTACTTTTCGTCCATATTTGTTAGTATTTATTTATTTATTTTTGTTTATCTCTTATTTATTTCATTTTCTTTATTTTCAATTTATTTTCATCGTTTTTGTTTTTCTAACACTTTTCTTGATTATTTAAGGGTTCATTTTCCAAACCTTAGAGGTGAGTAATTTGGATCGTCATTTTATCTTTTAATTTAACTTACAATTTTCTTAATCAAAGACAACTGGAAATTACGTAGTACCGAAAGGACAGTTCAAGGGTGCTAACCCTTCCTTGATGGTAACCGACTCCCGAATCCGATACATCTTTGGTAAGACGCAGATCAGGTAAGAAATAGGGTGTCCGATCAACCCATTTGCTTTAAAATAAATGATCGGTGGCGACTCCTAATCCATTTTCCTAAGTCGAAGCCCAATTCTGGGGCCCAACCGAAAGATGGTTGCGATAGCTTGGCGACTCCACTGGGGACACAGGTAAGTGAGTCAGGCTAAGGTAATTTCCAGTTGTCTTTTTAACGAAAAGGGTAAGTTTAAATTTGAAGGTAACATTTCGATCCTTATTACTTACCTTTGATTATATTTTTTCAAGTAAATAGTTGAACTGACCGTTTTCTAGTGATTTCAACTTTCCAAACTTTTTCATTCAAGGCTCTAAACCCGAGCTCCGAACCCGTTTTAAGTGGGGGGTGAAAGCGACGCATTCGTGTGAATTTATTCACCGCATATGCCAAGCAAGTAGCCTTCAGGATTCACATACCTTATGTCTTCGTGTGAATTTATTCTCCGCATAGACATAAGGGAATGTGTCCTCTCGAGTTTAACTTAGTCCACACAAGCCTGTGATGGGTTTAGGACTAAGGGTCTGGTAAGCCCAAAGGGGCACCAGCAAGGAGAACTCGGGTACCATTTTTTAGAACCTAAACCGGGAGAATTTGAAGAAATAGAGCCTACCCCAAAACCATATTCCAAAACCTAAGACATTTCTTTCCTAACCATGTTTTTTTTCTCTTACGTTTTTTTCTTGCCATTTATTTTACTATTATTATTATTTATTTTTATTTATTTCTATTTATTTTTATTTTACTAACTGTTTGACTTTGTGTTTGTTTTTAAAGCATTTGCATCATAACAAGAGGCCATTGATCCCTAAAAAGGTATTTGTTACACACAATAATCTGAATTAATGGATAAAGGTGTTGTAATACAAGAGATTAAAAACCCCGAGGTACGACTATGGTCCGAGAAGACTCAGAAGGAAAATAGAGATAGTCTTCAAGGAAGCTATGTGTCAGAGCTGGTTAGCTACGCCTCTATCAGCCTAAAGCAGAACGACGTGCAAGAGCTTCGGGACATCTGGGGTAGTTGAAAGAATGATCAGAAACAGAAGTTCAACCAACGGTATGGTGACATTGCATTGTTGCTTCAAATCAAGACTGATGAGCCATTGATCAGAGCCTTGGTTTAGTTCTGGAACCCGGGATACAGTTGCTTCACTTTTAATCAGGAGGACATGGTGCCCACCATTGAAGAGTACACTACACTGTTGCACTGTGAAAATATTAGACTGGAGCGAGCTTATATTAAACACATCAAAAGTCAGCCTTTCAAGAGTGCACTAGCCAAGGTTGCTGGGGTTGACGAAAGATGGGTAACAGACCGAGCTCGATGTAAAGGCAGTGGGGAAGGAATTGCCTGGCTTCATATCAAGCAACTGATGAAGGATCATCCCGATGAGTAGAAGGCAATAGACCTTTTTGCACTGGGTCTGTATGGCCTGATTATATTCCCGAAGACTTTGGGGTACATTGACGCAGTCGTGGTGGAACTGTTTGAGCAACTTTCGAAACGAGTCAACCCAGCACCGACCATCTTAGCCGAGATCTTTCGGTCTCTCAACCATTGCCGAAGAGCTGGCGGAGGTAGATTCATTGGGTGTGTTCAGCTCTTTCAAGTCTGGATTCACAGCCACTTCTGGAAGACTAATGGGGTTGTCTACCGTCGATTTAGCACTACGTATTCACCTTTGAGAGAGTTTATCACCATGAAATAGCATGAAGGCGCTTCAAAAGAGAAGTGGATGAAAGCCTTCACTCATCTCCAAGATCAGGATATTACCTGGAGAGCCCCCTAGTTGTTCCTCAGTGACGTTCTTTTTTTACGCTTGCATGCTTGTGTCTCGTTACATTTTGTATTCGAAAAACACCAAAGAAAACGATTTTTTGCCGATGAACATGGACATTTTTCGGGATCTATTTTATAGATCTAGCCCCCGATGCTTCTTTTCTTGAGAAAATACTTTGATTTTCGGAATGGGTGTGAAAAAGGGATAATCTCACTCTTAGTCCCCTCATTTATAAAGAATTTAATTTTCACCATGAAATCCTAATTCATCCTCAAAGTGCTCCA